GTGGGTGGTGGTGGGTGGTGGTGGTGGTGGTGGTGGTGGTGGTGGTGGTGGTGGTGGTGGTGGTGGTGGTGGTGGTGGTGGTGGTGGTGGTGGTGGTGGTGGTGGTGGTGGTGGTGGTGGTGGTGGTGGTGGTGGTGTCGCTCTCCTTCCTAACAGGGGATATGTCGACCCCTATCCCAGGTTTCGTGGGGTTTTCGAATGGACCCCAAACATTGGGGCCCAACCCTGGGATATACGAGGGGGGGCGTCCATCCTCGATAGGGGTGCGTCCGAATAGCCCCCTGGGGGTGTATCCCAGGGTTTCCCATCTTTCTGAGCCGCTCCAGTTTGCTTCGAAAAGCCGGGGAATGGGATAGAAACATCGCCTGCGACTTCCTTCGACAGTGTGCCTCCATCCTGCTTCCCGTATGAGGCACTCCTTGGAGGTCTTGGCAAAAACACTTCAGGGCTATTAAACCTGATGGAGCCGCATCAACCCGGAAAACCCAACACGGAACTCGATCAGAAAAGGTCATGCTGATCGCGGATCTACCAGATCCGATGCTGAATTTCATCACCTGGGAATGGCATCCCAACTCCTCCGATCTTTCCAGACCTCCTCGCGGCGTGAAGACATCACGACGGACTTTTCGTCGCTGTGGTCGGCCCTTCTCCTCCCCTCCTCCCACCCTCCTCTCGTCCACCTTCAAGGCTTCGGGAGGAGGACTGCTGGTTCCCTCCATTGAGCTACGGCCCTTGCTGCTCTCTCACCAGCCTTCGCCAGGACAAGCGATCGGGAACATGCATACTCGTAGGCGAAGCAGACCAGAATCCGGGGCCAGGGATCTGCGCGAAGCCAATTCTCGCCAGTCAGAGGTCAGCCTCCTCTGCCCTTCCGAGCTGTCAAATAATCATGTTTTGCAAATGCTGCGAAGCGTGATTTTCTGTGAAAAATGTGGAGCACACGCCACTGTCACAGCCCAGAACTTAGGCCATCTTGCAAAACTCTGGACGGACCTCCTACGAAAGCTGGAAAGGAAGCTCTTCCCCGTTTGTCGAGGGGCCTGCCCCCCCACAGCGGTGGAAGCGTTCCTGAGATGCGATTTTAGAAACGTGCCCAGGCTTGACCTGGTCTCCGCGGGTTCCCGAACCGAAGCGAAGCATTTCCTCCCACTGCACGTCCTCCTCCTCCGCCTCCGCCTCCGCCTCCCCCTCCTCCTCATCCTCCTTCGCTCGATTCGCTTCGCCCGTCCCTCCGCCCCGCTTACCTCCATGCTCCTCCTCCTCCCTCCCTCCCTCCTGGTCCTCCCTCAATCCCTCCATCCCCCCCTCCCTCCTGCTCCTCCTGCCGCTCCCTCCAAATGACTCGCACCTCGTCCCCCTGTCTGGGCCGTCTGGCCGTGGCCCAGGCCACGGAGACGGGCGCGGCTCCGGCGCCCCCCGGATCCGCGAGTGCCAGCGAGGCGCGGCCCTGCTGGAGAGCAGGACAGGAGGCCCAGAAGCAACTACCCGTCGGTCGGAAGAGGTGGGCGGAGGGTCCAAGTCCAGCAGCCCCCGCCGAGCCCGAAAGAACCCCCGCCGACAGCCCCACATCGGCCGAAGGAGCCCCCGCCGACAGCAGACAGACCCAGGGGGGGCTGAATTGGCAGGGCGCCCCAGGGCCTCCTGAGGCCCAAGAGAGGATCAGCCCCTCGGCCGATCCCAGCACGGCAGTGCAGCCCAGACCACGCCAGAGGCCCCGTCCAAAGACAGGGGGACGGAAAACAGAAGTGGGAAGGCGGACAAGGCAGACCGGGTTCAGGCCATCCCAGAGAAGAACGAAACCCAGCAATGGCACATCGATTCTTGAGGTAGGAAGGCGCTTGAAAAATAGATTGGGATCGGGAGATCCAGCAATGCCTACTCTCAACGACCGGCGTGTACTCGTGGCACCTCCAGCGCGCTGCAGGTACATGTACACGCCTGGCCAGGGCCCTCCCTGGCCCTGGCATAGGTGCACACGCCCTCCTGGGCGAGGCTACCCGACGGTCGGAAGGAGTCGGTAGAAACGTAGAGTGGGAAGGCGTTTGAAGTAGATTGGGCTTCCGCCCGCCCCCTGAAGAGGAAGGAAGAGGAGAAACCACTAGACTCTTGAAGTAGGAAGGCGCCCGAAGTAGATTGGGACCTGGGCTTCCAAAAAAGCTTACTTTCAACAAACGACGTGTGGGGGGAATTATGCACCGTCCTGGAGCCCAGGGTGGCCATGGCCACACATGGTGGGGATGGTGTGTGGATGCCCTCTGCGGGTCCAAAGAAGCAAACGCCTCCTCCAGAAAAAACAGAGCCCAACAACGCAAAAAAAAAAAAAAAAAAAAAAAAATGCACAACACTGGATTGCGATCACGTTTCAAGTGTTCAGTACAAGTTTCGGTCCCATGTATGGCGTCCCTCGTTCAATCTAAGTGCGGCTGCAGGACCAGATTCTGGGACAGAACGTACGGAAGGGTCCCAGAACGATTGGCGCGAGTGTACCGCCGTCTTCGCATGATGTAAATTATTTCTGCCTCGTTTAGTTCGCTGCTAGCGCTGAGCTTGTTTGTTGCGAGTCAAGATAGATGTGTTCAAACAGACTTGGGAACCCATGTTAGTTACACCCGGGAATATGTCAGCATATCAGCGCACGCGCGCACTTCCTCATCATCCTCATCAACACCATCCTCCTCATCAACACCATCAACGCCATCCTTCCAAAGACGGCTCCAAGAGGGGGCTTAGATGGGGGACCCGAACGAACATTTCGAGCCCTCGGCCCCGAGGGGCCCCCAGGAGGCCCCAAGAGGCCCCCAAGAGGCCCCCAAGAGGCCCCCAAGAGGGCCCCCAAGAGGCGCTCAAGAGGCCCCCAAGAGGCCACAACCCAGGCACGATGGCGGGATGGGCCGAAGGCCATTAGATACCGGCGTCGTGCAAAGCTTACTTTCCAAATTCGTCTTGCTCTCTCGGGGAGATGTCAGACTTGGGTACGGGGGACTCAGGTTGGCCTGACGGGGGCCATCATAAAAATGACGAGACACAATCTGAAATTTGACGCGGGCTCCCGCTGCAGACGTCCCACGAAAACGGAACCGTCAAAATCCAGGACGCGCTCGTCAAAAAAAAGTCGGCAAACCTGAGTTCCGACTTACTCGAGTCGTACGTTTCCCCGATTCTCGTATGCGAAAAACTCCTGCCATGACAACCTGGGCCCATATGTCCAAAACCACCCCGCCGATGTCTCCCAGAAGGCCTGAAGACGACGCCACATCATCCCCGATGCATCGCCGAGAAACCCCCAGTCTTGAAACAGCACGATCCTGGGCAGGATAGGGAAGCAAGGCTCTTCCCCCCCCCATCCCCCCCCATCCCGACGTTGTCGTCGCTCCAAACGTGGACCCCCGAAAGCCTCGACCCCTTCCAAACTGGCTTCTCATCCCGAGACGGTCCTTGACGATTCCCGGGCCCGGTCAGGCCCCCGCCTGCCGAAAAATGGCCGAAACCCTTCCGCCACGTTTTCAGCTGGCCAAACCGCCTCCCCGCACTCTCCAGGGGGGCGCTCTGGCCGGAATTTCGACGGGAATCCAGCCGTGGCCACGAGGGCGTCCCAGGTGACCACACACCGCGCAAAATCACTGGAGCACCAGACATACGGCGAGGCGTTTCTTCATGCGCGTCCCTATGAGGTCCCGACCAGCTCCCTGCCGGCACCTTCCCGCCCAGGATTCGTGCCTCATGGCCCAGGAGCCCGAGACCGGGCCCCCGAGGCCGAAGTCGGGGAGAAACGCCCAGGCCGAGAACGTCAGGTCGTCGGAGGTCCGGATCCTCGACTTCGGACGCCCGAACTTGGTGCGGTGCGGACGCGGCCGCAAGAAGCCCTCGCACGAAGCCCAGCCCTGCAAACCCGCAGGCGGGAGATGCAACACGGGAGGGAGGAGCCCCGGAGCACCCTGAACGCAGCAGCTCCTTCAGCGGCCGCGGGAGGTCACCGCGCAGCGCGCGGGGCGAAGACACCGGGGGTACCTTGGCGAAAAGCATCCGGTTTCTTGATGCGCGTCCCCACTGTACGGAACAGATGGGTACGACGCCCAACAACAGATGATGTCCCAAAAAAGACAGCGGCCGCTGACGGGCAGGCGGCCTTCTGTCTCGAATTGACAACGCCCGCGGTGACACTGACAGCGAATCCTGTTCAAAAAACACAGGATCTGCTGTCGGTCTTCGTATTCTTTCATTGCGTTCCCACTTCGGTCGTACCGAGCCCGGACCGAGAAACTCACATCGTCGAAGGTCTGGATCCTTGACCCTCGAACTAGAGGCTTCCCAGGTGGGGTCCGAGTAGATGGGGTCGGAGGATCGCGCGGCTTCGCCAATGCATCGCCGATGCATCGGTGACGTCGGCGTACACACATTCGGCCTCCACATCGAGCCGCATCGCCGATGCATCGGCGATACATCTGCGACGCGGCGCTATCTTCCAACCCCGTCTACTCGGACCCCATCTGGGACACCTAAAATCTAGATTTTTCATGACGTCGACCCCTAGAGACCTCGACCCATTCCCCAAGACTCGTTTTTCCTCCCGAGTAGATTTTGGACGGCCCCGCGGCCCGGGAAGGGCCCCCAGAGACCAAAAACAGCGAAATCCACTCCCGTCGTGAACTTTCTCATAACTCGACGGGGTCTGGGCTGGGGGACGCGCAATGGGGGAGGCGATAAATGGGAGGCAGCGACTGTTGCCAACCGAGGGCCCTGGCCCCTCAAGGGGCCCTCTAGAGCCCCAAAGGGGGCCTCTAGGGTCCGAAAAGGGCACCCTTCTCCCCCCCCCCCCCCCTATCGCCTCCCCCTTGACTCGCGCCCAAGGGTCTGGCAACGCCGCTCCTCTCCTCCCGATGCCAGGCAGGCGGGGCCGCCGAGCACAGGAGCCCCGGGAGCAGCACGGCGCTGTGCAGCCCGGCGCACCCCAGCAGCAGGAGGCCCAGGGCGAGGCCGCCCAGGGCCTCCTCGGGCTCCTCCGTGGGGCCGGCAGCGCTCGCGGCCCTTCGGCGGCAGCTCGTGTCGGGGGGGGCCGACGGTGCCCCTGGCCCGAGGTTCGAGTGGGAGATCGACTGCGATCGAGCTGGTCTACCCCAGGATTTGCTTTTTTCTCCGTGGACTCGACGCGAAAAATAGTTGGGGGTCAGTCAATTCTGCGGCCGGTCTCCTACTCGAAAGGTGCCCCCAACTTTGCGTTCAAGTTTGGAGCACCTGGAGCCCTCTAGGCGACGTTCGGAGTGTTCCATGAAACCGTGGTTCCATGGAGATCCTGGGGGGCATCTTGGACCAGGGTCACTTCTACCAACACTCCATCATGAGAGCCTCCCGTACCACTGTGCTGTCTCTGACGAATCGATGCTAATCGGCGAGAATCGAAGCTAGATCGACGCTCATCGACACTAATCGACGCTAATTCGTCGCTCTCTCCTAGATTACCCAGACGCCAATCGACGATTATGCACTTTAAAGACGGCATTTCGAGGGCACGCACAAGGCTCCCATGATCTCCTGCCGAACCAACCCTTCCCAGCCTCCACCCCAAAAATCTCAGGTTCCGAAACAATTGAAGCGGCAATGTCTTGCAGCTTTCGGCCTCCACGGGCCCTCGCCGGGCCCCGGAAACGTAAACAAGGATTCAGGATGAAAAGCCGCCCCTGGGGAAGATGTCCAGACCTTTCGAGGGCCCACGCATAGCAAAATTGGGGCGGCTGGACGTCTGGGCCCCAGCCTCCACAATTAGGCAATCAATATACGACACCACTAAAATTATCCCGGCAAAGCAACCTAACAGCGATGTGTAGAAGCATATCTGAAAGCATTCCCCTTAAGATTCAGATGAAAATCCAGTTGTAGAATTCTGCTGTTCTCGCAGTCGTAGTCGCATTCGCGATGACAGTCGCAGCGGCAACGGCAGTCGCAGTCACAGCCTCAGCCTCAGCCTGCCTCAGCCTCAGCCTCAGCCTGCCTCAGCCTCAGCCTGCCTCAGCCTCAGCCTCAGCCTGCTTCAGCCTCAGCCTCAGTCTGCCTTCAGCCTCGGCCTCAGCCTCAGCCTGCCTCAGCCTCAGCCTGCATCAGCCTCAGCCTCAGCCTCAGCCTGCCTCAGCATCAGCCTGCAGCCTCAGCCTCAGCCTCAGCCTCAGCCTGCTTCAGCCTCAGCCTCAGTCTGCCTTCAGCCTCGGCCTCAGCCTCAGCCTGCCTCAGCCCCAGCCTGCCTCGACCGCAGCATCAGCCTGCCTCAGCATTCAAAATGTGGCCCAGGAAAGGGAGTTCTGGGAAGTCGAAGAGCACGAAGTTGCCTACAGTTGGCTACGGGCATTCAAAATGTGGCCCGGGAATGGAGTTCTGGGAACTCGAAGAGCACGAAGTGGCCTACAGTTGGCTCCGGGCATTCAAAATGTGGCCCGGGAATGGAGTTCTGGGAACTCGAAGAGCACGAAGTGGCCTACAGTTGGCTCCGGGCATTCAAAATGTGGCCCGGGAATGGAGTTCTGGGAACTCGAAGAGCACGAAGTGGCCTACAGTTGGCTCCGGGCATTCAAAATGTGGCCCGGGAATGGAGTTCTGGGAAGTCGAAGAGCACGAAGTGGCCTACAGTTGGCTCCGGGCATTCAGAATGTGGCCCGGGAATGGAGTTCTGGGAGGTCGAAGAGCACGAAGTGTGTGACTGTTGGCTTAAAACGACTTCTGCGGCACCCTGTCCGGCACCCGCCCAGACCCCCCTGTGGAGTCATCTGCTGCTCTCTTTTTAGCCCATTAGAAACCTATCAGTCTTCGCTGTTAGGTAAAAATTATCCCGGCAAAGCAACCTAACAGCGATGTGTAGAAGCATATCTGAAAGCATTCCCCTTAAGATTCAGATGAAAATCCAGTTGTAGAATTCTGCTGTTCTCGCAGTCGTAGTCGCATTCGCGATGACAGTCGCAGCGGCAACGGCAGTCGCAGTCACAGCCTCAGCCTCAGCCTGCCTCAGCCTCAGCCTGCCTCAGCCTCAGCCTGCCTCAGCCTCAGCCTCAGCCTGCTTCAGCCTCAGCCTCAGTCTGCCTTCAGCCTCGGCCTCAGCCTCAGCCTGCCTCAGCCTCAGCCTGCATCAGCCTCAGCCTCAGCCTCAGCCTGCCTGCAGCCTCAGCCTGCCTCAGCCTCAGCCTCAGCCTGCCTCAGCCTCGGCCTCAGTCTGCTTCAGCCTCAGCCTCAGTCTGCCTTCAGCCTCGGCCTCAGCCTCAGCCTGCCTCAGCCCCAGCCTGCCTCGACCGCAGCATCAGCCTGCCTCAGCATTCAAAATGTGGCCCAGGAAAGGGAGTTCTGGGAAGTCGAAGAGCACGAAGTTGCCTACAGTTGGCTACGGGCATTCAAAATGTGGCCCGGGAATGGAGTTCTGGGAACTCGAAGAGCACGAAGTGGCCTACAGTTGGCTCCGGGCATTCAAAATGTGGCCCGGGAATGGAGTTCTGGGAACTCGAAGAGCACGAAGTGGCCTACAGTTGGCTCCGGGCATTCAAAATGTGGCCCGGGAATGGAGTTCTGGGGACTCGAAGACCACGAAGTGGCCTACAGTTGGCTCCGGGCATTCAAAATGTGGCCCGGGAATGGAGTTCTGGGAAGTCGAAGAGCACGAAGTGGCCTACAGTTGGCTCCGGGCATTCAGAATGTGGCCCGGGAATGGAGTTCTGGGAGGTCGAAGAGCACGAAGTGTGTGACTGTTGGCTTAAAACGACTTCTGCGGCACCCTGTCCGGCACCCGCACACACCCCCCTGTGGAGTCATCTGCTGCTCTCTTTTTAGCCCATTAGAAACCTATCAGTCTTCGCTGTTAGGTAAAAATTATCCCGGCAAAGCAACCTAACAGCGATGTGTAGAAGCATATCTGAAAGCATTCCCCTTAAGATTATCCCGGCAAAGCAACCTAACAGCGATATGTAGAAGCATATCTGAAAGCATTCCCCTTCAGATTCAAATGAAAATCCAGTTGTAGAATTCTGCTGTTCTCGCAGTCGTAGTCGCATTCGCGATGACAGTCGCAGCGGCAACGGCAGTCGCAGTCACAGCCTCAGCCTCAGCCTGCCTCAGCCTCAGCCTCAGCCTGCAGCCTCAGCCTGCCTCAGCCTCAGCCTCAGCCTGCTTCAGCCTCAGCCTCAGTCTGCCTTCAGCCTCGGCCTCAGCCTCAGCCTGCCTCAGCCTCAGCCTGCATCAGCCTCAGCCTCAGCCTCAGCCTGCCTCAGCATCAGCCTGCTTCAGCCTCAGCCTCAGCCTGCCTCAGCCTCAGCCTCAGTCTGCTTCAGCCTCAGCCTCAGTCTGCCTTCAGCCTCGGCCTCAGCCTCAGCCTGCCTCAGCCTCAGCCTGCCTCGGCCGCAGCATCAGCCTGCCTCAGCATTCAAAATGTGGCCCAGGAATGGAGTTCTGGGAACTAGAAGAACACGAAGTGGCCTACAGTTGGCTCCGGGCATTCAAAATCATGCCCAGGAATGGAGTTCTGGGAACTTGAAGAGCACGAAGTGGCCTACAGTTGGCTCCGGGCATCCAAAATGTGGCCCGGGAATGGAGTTCTGGGAAGTCGAAGAGCACGAAGTGGCCTACAGTTGGCTCCGGGCATCCAAAATGTGGCCCGGGAATGGAGTTCTGGGAAGTCGAAGAGCACGAAGTGGCCTACAGTTGGCTCCGGGCATCTAATGCGAAGAGCACGACTGTTGCTTAAAACGACTTCTGCGGCACCCTGTCCGGCACCCGCCCAGACCCCCCTGTGGAGTCATCTGCTGCTCTCTTTTGAGACCACTAGAAACCTATCAGAACAAGCTGTTAGGTAATTCAGATGAAAATCCAGTTGTAGAATTCTGCTGTTCTCGCAGTCGTAGTCGCATTCGCGATGACAGTCGCAGCGGCAACGGCAGTCGCAGTCACAGCCTCAGCCTCAGCCTGCCTCAGCCTCAGCCTCAGCCTGCCTCAGCCTCAGCCTGCCTCAGCCTCAGCCTCAGCCTCAGCCTGCTTCAGCCTCAGCCTCAGTCTGCCTTCAGCCTCGGCCTCAGCCTCAGCCTGCCTCAGCCTCAGCCTGCATCAGCCTCAGCCTCAGCCTCAGCCTGCCTCAGCATCAGCCTGCCTCAGCCTCAGCCTCAGCCTGCCTCAGCCTCAGCCTCAGTCTGCTTCAGCCTCAGCCTCAGTCTGCCTTCAGCCTCGGCCTCAGCCTCAGCCTGCCTCAGCCCCAGCCTGCCTCGACCGCAGCATCAGCCTGCCTCAGCATTCAAAATGTGGCCCAGGAAAGGGAGTTCTGGGAAGTCGAAGAACACGAAGTGGCCTACAGTTGGCTCCGGGCATTCAAAATGTGGCCCGGGAATGGAGTTCTGGGAACTCGAAGAGCACGAAGTGGCCTACAGTTGGCTCCGGGCATTCAAAATGTGGCCCGGGAATGGAGTTCTGGGAACTCGAAGAGCACGAAGTGGCCTACAGTTGGCTCCGGGCATCTCGAAACGATACAGTGGCTCCGGGCATTCAAAATGTGGCCCGGGAATGGAGTTCTGGGAAGTCGAAGAGCACGAAGTGGCCTACAGTTGGCTCCGGGCATTCAGAATGTGGCCCGGGAGTGGAGTTCTGGGAGGTCGAAGAGCACGAAGTGTGCGACTGTTGGTTTAAAACGACTTCTGCGGCACCCTGTCCGGCACCCGCCCAGACCCCCCTGTGGAGTCATCTGCTGCTCTCTTTTTGGCCCATTAGAAACCTATCAGTCTTCGCTATTAGGTAATCAATCGCACTAAGAGAAGGCTGAATGGCCGGATGCCAGATATGATCACCGTGCTTTCCCTTCCCCACCTGCTTTCGCGAACCTTTCTGCTGACCTGTTGGGAACAAGAACCGGCGCATTTGGGAGGGGATGCGTGGGAGGAGCAGGATGCCAGATACAGTCTAAACGTGTATTGATTAGTGAGGGGGTCTCCTACAGCGACCATTAGCAGGCCATGGCTGTTAACTTCGTGGCCCGCGGAATGAAAAC